AGAGAGAGAGAGAGAGAGAGAGAGAGAGAAAGAGAGAGAAAGAGAGAGAGAGAGAGAGAGAGTGCACGTTTTAAATATAATTTTATTTCATAAAATGCACAAAACCTAATTACTAATAATTATTATTTATCAGGATCAATGTTTGCCAATTATTTACCTGCCGATATAAACGTATACGCTCTAGCTGCGAGCCGACCAGATGAATATGGTGCCCAATATAGTTATGATTATTTACGTAGAGCTTTTACCGGTAATTAATAAATATAGTAATGTTTATTGGTTTTTTATTATGTTAATTTAATAATTATATATTTGAAGCATCATACTTTGCCACAATGTGGTTTGAAAATAGTCAGATCTATTACCTTGACATGGAGTCCCTTAATGACCAATACCAATACATTGCTGATCGGTCCAATTTAACCATATCTGGTTGGTGGCCACCTGGCACAAATACTACATTTGTAATGGATTGGACTCAGCATGCTCAACAATATGGCGATAAACATATTGGTCAACAGCATGTTTCAGAGTATATGGGTAATTAATTAGAGTATTATTATACAATTGTAGCTTATTAAAATGCAAATTAATTTGTTGCTTTATTTGATTTAGGTAAATTACATTCCGGTGTAAACTATGCGATTGACTCTGAAGTGCCAGAATTGGCTGATTTGGCAGACAATAGGAATGTGTCCATACATTTAGCACAAATGAATATCGCATTATCTGAGGATATCGATGAAAAACTACGGTATTTACTAACTATGAACTAACTGTTATATTCTGTGTACATACTGTATATAAATAATTTTAGATTAATTAATTAATTTTAACTAGATCAAAACCACTTAATAGTGGTAAATAACTAATTCTCTTTCTCTCTCTCTCTCTCTCTCTCTCTCTCATTCAATTCAGTGTTATTAGTAATTAGGTTTTGTGCATTTTATGAAATAAAATTATATTTAAAACGTGCACTCTCTCTCTCTCTCTCTCTCTTTCTCTCTCTTTCTTTCTCTCTCTCTCTCTCTCTCTCTCTCTCTCTCTCACCTGCTAAACATGATCCAAGATAAAACACCATGTGCTAAAATCTCTTATTTTTATGCATAGCCCATAGAACATTGTTTAGCTCTTCGGCGTGGAGTACAGTATTGTTTGGGAATAATACGACCTCTAATGTAAAGGTAATTATAAGTAATATTATAAGTAATACCTTTACAAACATTAATTATTGATTTATTTAATTATGACAGATTCTAGATAATTCAAACAATTGGCTACTCACCTTTCTCACCATGACTCAGTAAATAGACAAATATGAGATCGTTGGGCTTACTGTTGACCACTTTTTTTTACCCTGCTTGACTAATTCTTGATCGCCTTGTAGAACGCCCAAAAAGTTCTAGCGTGTTAAAAATTTTACGTTTAATAAAATTAATTAAAGTTGACTATTTAATTTTGCTATTGCCCAAATACAGTACCTTTACTGTGACATGATCGCCAGTATAGTGTTTGGGCACTCCGTGGTAAACATCGGTGCCATTACCATGGTTTACAACAATGCCAGGCGTAGGGTTGACCGGATTGTGAGCTACATTATCGATGTGCATAACAATTATATTTTCATCGGGAATACCTTGCGATCGAACCAATTGGTACGCGTGGTATATGTCTGCCTAGAGGGTATTTATAATATAGTATAGTAATTTAATATTTTATTTTAGTTTATAGCTTTACCTGAACAAAATAGTTGAGCCATTCGCCTGAACCGGCGCATAACACCACCCAATTTTTGCCATTTGGACCAGGGTCACTTTGCGGGATAAATGGGACCCCGTTTACTAACACTAAAAGTATAGTAAAAGTTAACAGATTTAATGGTTTCATTCTTAACATAATCATTAATTGTAATAAATTCAGCTTATACGTTTAGTATTTATACTGTGTTAAAATATTTAACATTAAAGCACCAAGTTTTATTACTTACCCAATATTGTGCTATAATTCTCACAATTATTACTTATAATTATTGTAATTTTAAACCCAATATTAGGTTGACTTACAAATTCAGGCAGATAAGATTGTACATTTAATAATTATATATCAGGTTGTTCAGAAATTAATGTTCATTTCGGCCATAACTCAAAAACCAATCAAGATAATTTGAATCTGTCTTCAGATTATAATAGCACTAGCCCATGTCCACATCTCACCAAAAATTTATCAGGATTGAATAACATTAAGATTATTTAATTTGAAAAAAACTGACAAAAAA